CATATGTGATAATGGTAACAATAAAATAAGCAATCTGAAATTCCCTGTCCTGCTTTGTTTTTCTTTTCTTAGCTATAAGTTTTTTTACAAAAACTTTTAAAATCTGTTCTTTTAAAAATACTTTGTTCACTTCCTTGAATTGAATTGATTGCCTTAAAGAGAATGTTACCAGTGATTTAAACAAAATGTAGGAAGGTCCRGTGTCATGCACTTTTTCCTAATGCTTTGCTTTGACCAACTGAATAAGATAGCTGAGAGCATCAGCGTTAAAGAACTTCAGGATCTGACTACTTAAAACCAATTTGAATTCTCCCATAAAAATTTTCATTGCTATCAGAAATTGATTGCTAAGACAGATATATAGAGGAGGCACACTGCCCTTTTTTGTTCTTTGACTAGTTTATTACTGGTTCATTATTGGTCTATTACTTAGACCACCCTGCATGACAACTGTTGCAGYGTCTGTTTTAGCTGAGCAATTCCCAGTGATGGCTTTTAATTAAAAAGGAATTTTCGTGGATATGACATGTTTATAAAGCAAATGAAGATTAAAAGCAGCTGGACACAGTAATAATAAATAATAGATTTTATAGAGCTGGCTTGAAACCGTATTTAGAGTCTAGTTAATAGTGTGATTGGATAAATATACAAAGGTTGAACACTGAAATAAGCTCAACTGCTATAGCTGGGCTGATTTTGGAAACATACAACAGGTACATATAATAAGGCAGTGCTTCTTAGCCCATTTTTTAATTGAGAAAGTACAAAACAAACAGGAAACCGTCAAGAAAAACACAAACACATCCCATAGTATTCTTTCACAGTCATTTTCCTTTACAGCTAAATAAATGAGGACTCAAAATTTAGTGTCTCATTCTACTGTATCTGTTTTCTCCCCCACCTAATTTTTGCCTGTATGTAGAACTTGTTGTTGTTGATATGAGAGATCACTTTCAAGGGTAAATTCAGCTATAGGGACAGGTGCACTGCCTTAAAGAATTAAAGAAAAACAATCTGTTGTTAGCAGAAATGCAACAATCATCAATACAAGAAACTTAACATCACATTTCAGATGGGCTTTACAAGAGTTTTGAGAATGAGCAGCAATTAATTGGTTAAGAAAATGGATGGTCTGGATAGGACCAATCAAAAATAAAAAGAACSAAGTATGTGGAGCGGGCAATAAAAGGAGTGGGGAATGAGCACTAGGAATAGGTATGCATATGTTCACAGGGACTTAATGTCATTCTTTGATCCTGTGTAACGTTAGCTTCTTTACATTGGCTTGTCAGGTTTGCATTGCTTCTTTTTTAAGATTCCTTTTTTTTTGTATGAGAGCAACTACTAAGTTTTGTCCATTTAACAGTATCATATGATCATATTAATCCTGTTGTTTAGCTGCAACCTAAGAATTTGCTTCTGTAGATTTTTGAAGTACTTACAGATAAGGCACTATTCTTATTTCTATATGTTCTAAGGTAAAATACCGTGATGAAGATCTCCTMAGGAGCCATTGCTAGCACATGATCAGGTCTTTCTGCTCTAAACCAGTGCTCAATTGGACCACACATCTTCATGATTTTTTTCTTCTAAAAGTGGCACAGAAAGTGGTGCTTGTATGACTGCAGTTCTTGGTAACACTTTTCAAGCACAGAAATAAGAAGTTTATTGTATTCCATCTAATCTGAGTGAAGGGATATGCTYCATCTCACGCTCATGTCAACCACATAGTTCTTGCAGACCTGAGTGTGAGCAGAACTTGAGGCCTGTRATGTGATTATAGCATCTGTGAAGTYGCAGGCATAAGTGAAATGAGCAGTGTAACTTCACCTTTCTGTCTTTACTCTTTGAGAATTTTTGCTTATGCTTACAGCAATATATTAAGGTTATAGCATAGTGTGCTATATAAAGAATGCAAAAAGTAGCAYGGCAAAATGCAGTAGCAAAATTATATTAGGGAGCACTCATTGAGACAGATTAGAATTTATTTTGAGGTAGTTTAATGTGATTAAACCATTTTGCAATGAAAGCAGCCTAGATAATGTTTTCTAAAGCATCTGCATGATGGTGCTGGGACACTGTTATAACACGATTGTTGTCTTTGTTTAAGGAAGAGGAATATGAAGTGCATATTATGCACTCACACAGAATTGTGCAGAACCAAAGAGAGATATCTTGCAGTTCTGCAGTTTGAGCACATGCATTTTGTGTTGGAATAGAGTGAACCACATTTTAAGACAGACATACTTTTGTTTACACATATTGAAACTGTAAGATGAATTGGTGACACCTAAGCGAGAAAAACATTCTTTTGATATGCACCACTCTAGAGTTGCTTTTTTGTATACTATATATGGGATACTAATGAGCACCTTAGTGTTTCATTCTGGTTTTATATATGCATTATTCAGGCAAAACGCTAGGAAAAAATAATTCTCTATTTTTGCAGATTAGAAAACTGAATCTGATGAGGGTCAAGTAGCTGCAACCAATAATTTGGAGAGCTGTGTTTTCCCCACCCAGTAGGAGCTGCTGACCACCAGTATTTCCTAAGTATTTCAGCTGGGTTGCTCAGCTGTTGTCCCACATCCCCTCTTACCTTCTCACTGCAGGGTTCCCCTTCGCACCTCCCCTGCCCCAAGGAGGAGACTTGGTCTGTGCTGGGGAAGAAGGGAGGCAGGGAGGGAGCATTGGCTACTGCTGGAGAATCCTATTTTGCCCAGTGTGTCCTTCGCATCGCAGGCCGTGATGCCGTGGCTCCCATCGGCTTCCTTGATGCTGATGCTGCCTACAGCATCCAGGGGCCTGCAGGAGCAGCCTGCTCCCTGACCCAACCAGGTGAGCCCAGGAGAGCTTGTGAGAAAGAGCTGCTCACTCTCCACCATCATGCACTAGTATGATTTTCATGCAGGAGTATGGTTTTCTGGTGCTCAGTCTTCTTTTAAAGCACTCTCCTCAACTGCTGAAACAGGGCAGCCTGGGCTGTAAAATGTGACCAGACTGCAGAGAGCTAGGACTGAGTAAAGAAACRATTTAAGGTGAGTTTGACTTTGTTTTTAAAATAGAATCTGAAAAACAGTCATGAGCCTCGATTACTAAAGGCTCCTCAGCATTCTGACAAAAAAAAAAACTGAACAAAAGCTATGCCAAACTCTATCCTTATTTTAAATAAGTATCACATGAGTCATGTGTCTTGAGTTCTGAGAATTTTAAAATAAAACAATTATTTCTGTAATCACGATCTTCTGAAATAACTTTAATATTCTGTTATTATTTCATTGTCAGTTTTCTCTATATTTAAAATGGAAAAAAATCCTGAAAAACAAACTTGAATGGATCCATGGGATTAAAGCACAGTCTTGCATATTTAAAATTTCGCTAGTCTGGTTTTACTTTTAAATACCATTACAGTATGCTCTCTGAAGAGTTTTAACTAAAACAAAYACTTTGTTATATATTTTAATGAGACTCCCACTTTAACTAGTAGTTATATATGATTAGCATCTCTCCATCAAGTGTCTCTCTAGATTGCCTCTCTACAACAGCGAGAGACCTTGATGTCTTTGCACAGCTCAGGATGCTGTCAGCCAGCCTGCTGGTCTGTTACACTTGGCTCAAAGAATATGGTCGTGATTCCAGCTCAGTATTTCCATATCTTTTTAACAGAACCTTTTAATCCAAGGACAAATGTTTCAATAATTAGTTACATCTGTTATAGAAGCACAAACCAAAATGATGAAATGATCAGACAGTGCTACAAAAATCTGCATTATTTTTTAAAGCGYATAATCTTGGATGAAGCCAAGTGAATACAATTTGTATGAACAGGAAGAACAATGCAGTAAAAGAATATACACATGCCTTTAAAAGTCTGGAAAAAAATATAATAGACTACATTGTGCATATGCTGTTGTTTCCAACTTTTTTGCTGTTTGGAAATTCGTAATTTAAACAACTACCAACTGGACAATAATACACAACTATCCACTCTTCCTACTGCTGTTGCTATTAAAAGAATCATTTTAAAAATCCTTTCTTTTGTCTTATGCCAAAACCCTCATTTTCATCATTAAAAAATGTCAACAATGTATCTGAAAATATATTCTGGAACCAAATGCAGTATTATAATTTTCCCCAAATCAAATGCTGATAATCTTGTAAAAATAGTTAGATCTGTCAGTGTAGTTTGTTAATATGAAAATAGCAACCATTTTTAAAACACTTACTACTTGAAACTGTTTGTAAGAAATCCTGTGATTAGTGGGGGAGAAGAGCACAAGCTTATTCCATGCTATGGCTGTATYGATGATTAGGTGCTATGAATTCTCTTTGGGTTTAATGGCAAAAGTAGATCTCAGATTATGAGATCATTGAGGATTTCTGATCATGAGGAATTCTGCTCATCTGAGCTGCAAAAGAATATACTCATAATAACGCCATACACTGAAAGTGGGAGGATTTTTTTTTTCTTTTTAATAGATACGGGTTAGGCAAGAAAACCCCGTTTGTTTTTAATAATGTGATTTACCGAGAGATGGATTTTTGTAATTTCTGCTATTCCATTTACAGGGGAATGCACTGCGACACCAACACGCTGCCAGGTGGAAACAGATGTGGACAACCRTGGACAACCAACCTAAGGCAACAACCAGAATCCCAGTCTCCTGGCTTGAAAGAAGCAAAACTTAATGGCAAGTGTCCTTTTTTCTTTTTTTTTTTTCCTTTCCCTGCTGCTGTCAGTGACAGCTTTGAGGATGTTTGTGTCCCACAAACAGTGGCCTTGAAYGGCACACAGCGGGTGAGGCGACTGCGCCGGGCCCTGGGCGGCCGGGCCGGGCGTTGCTGCCGGAGCGGCTCGGCCTGGCCGCAGGCCCCTGCGCAGGCCGCCTGGCCGGGGCCGGCCCTCTGTCAAGGAATGCCGTTCCTTGACATTAATTAACGAGGGCTGTCATTAATAATCATTTCCCAGACTAAACAGAGGCCATTTTTATCAACAGAAGGGTGACTAAAGGCCCCTTGGTTAGGAAGTACTATTTTTATTGGGTGTTAAATCAAGCAAGACGTTGAGCCAACACAGGTCTAAATTTAAGTAACTGCTTAAGTGCTCTGCTAGAGTAAGACCAGGGTCTAATACCTCACCAAAGCGAGTTCTGAATGGAAATGATGTTTTGTTGTAGCCTTTGAGACTATTCACTTCCCCTTCTGAAAACACCATGAATACTAGAGATCTCTTCTTCTATAATCAGGTAGCAAGGGTAGTTTTTCTCCAGCCCTCGGAATAATGCAGGAGATGCACACAGCTGTAGTGCATTTCAGAAAATGAAATCTAGTTAAACATAATCACAAACGTGATTTTCCTYATTTTATAAGTGAGAAATAAGGAGATAAAATTTCCTCTTGGAATGATTTTGATTTAAATTAAAAAATCATAAAGTTGAGTAATTACGTGCTTTACATTGAAAGCTATGTGATGTTCATAAATCATTCATATTAACAATTTGTTACTTGTATACATTTACAGTGATTTATGGCTCATTAAAGCTATGTTCTCCTGTGATTTCTCCCCCCAGCCGCACTTCTTATTCACCTCAACCCTTTCTTGCCTACCACAGCAGCCATAATTTTACCTTGCCTGTTATGAATGCTTTGAATTTCTACTGAAGACATGTATTAAGAAACAAAAACATGGAGAGCATTGAGGGAAATATGTTAATCTTACTATTGCCATATGCTAAAAGCTAATAGTAGCATGAGAATAGAGTTTCTTGTTTATTACTCTGAATTGATCTATCCTCATTGTAATGCACTTTGAAAACATCTGAGATAGCTTTTTTCATTAAAAAAAAAAAACAAAAACCCACACACTCACAAAAACAACCCCCTAGAAAATCTTCCTAACACATTTAAGTAAGAAGCATAATCTAAAAAACCCAAACAAACAAACAACCTACCCCCTCCCCCCTAAAAAAAGCCAATAGTTATTTGAAGGCATGGTGAAAATGAGGCAAAGTTACAGAATTTGTAGTGGATGGAAAGGAGCGAGGAACATGATGCAGCTGGTTTAAGGCCATGCCACCAGTAGCTGGCTGTGGACATTGCTGCTGGCCAAGGCCATTCAGCCTGTGCGTTGGTTCTTCTTGACCAAATGCCATTGCGATGTCCCCAGTAGTGCTCTGGTTGTCGCACGGTGGGAGCTGCCAGAAACTCATTATATGAGTGAGATCCATGAAAGGCATGCTGGTAGTTTCAGCTACAGTCTCTGTCTCCTTGTGTACTGGGTACTTAATAGTATCACTTGCAGGCCCTGAGGATGCTTCTTCCAGATTGATTTTGTGAAGCGACTGAGGTTCTGATAACGGCAGGTCCTCAAGAAGATGCACATTGTAACCTTTAACATCCACTTTGATCGGGAGGTTCTTGAGGGATCCTGCTGCAAATGAGGTAGAAGTAAGGTCATATTTATTAGGCTGATGAAGGTTCAGGTTGGCAGGAATGGTTGTCGGGCATGGTGTGGGATGGACAGCTGGAAGGTTGTCTATACAGCCCATCCTCTGTAAATGAGGAGAAGGTTCAAGGGGAAGAGCAGGTTGTAGGGTTGGCTGTGAGTGAAGATGGGAGCAGCTGTAGTCCTCTGGCTCTGAGCTGTTCAGAACTCCATTCTGCATAGGCACCCTGTCAGGAAAAGAGGACAGGAGGCTGGCATCTTCCTTCAGTCTGAACGGAAGAAGCTGGTCGAGGAGACCCAGTGAGTCACCATTCTGCAACCTGCTCTTCAGCAGCTCCTGTGGATGAGTCTTCCTAGTATGGCGAGTCAAGTGGTCCTTCCGCCCAAACCGCTGGGCGCAAAACTGGCACAGGAAGTCCTTGCAGCCCGTGTGAACTACCATGTGTCGCCGCACATCCTTGCGGGTATAGAAGTGACGTTCACAGTGGTCACACTTGTGTTTCTTTTCCTTGAGATTGCCGGTTGGCTTGCCTGCATGACTTTTGAGGTGCTCCAGCAAAACTTCGGTACCCCCAAACTCTTGGGCACAAACCCTACAGGTAAGGTCCCCACTAGTGGCTGCATGAAGAGCCAAGTGTCTCTTATAGCCTAGCTTGGTGTTGTACTTCTTGCCACACTCTTCACACTTGAAGGCCATCTTGTTAGGGTCATGAGTTTGAAGGTGATTCTTCAGATGGTCTTTCCTGTGAAAGGTCTTTTCACAATAGCCACATTGGTGAGATTTCTGGGGAGAATGAGTGGCTGAGTGTCTAGGACAAAAAAAAAAAAAAAAAAAARAATTATTTGCATTTACAGTCCTATAGTATTGAGCTGCAGCTTTAAGACTTGAAAGCACTGGTTCTCTAGCAGGAATAGCACACAGTGCAGGAAGAATATATATTTTCACAGTATTATTAATAATCTAACTTTTTTTTTTGGTGTGGGGGGGAAGAGTTTTAGCATGGAGCAGGTTAAAAATACTGCAACAGTCTTTAAGAGTAGCAGCTGCAATTGAGAGAAGTTACTTTTCTCAAATTGTCCCAACAGAGGAAAATGAAAATTGGACTCAGAGATGAATTATCACTAKAATATTCTTATTTTCACCCAGACACCCACCAGAAAAGCTGTGCCTTCAGAGCTGTACCTGAGCAGTTTATATTTGGAAATGAAGGCCTTTGTGCATCCGTGCTGCGAACACTTGTAGGGGCGCTCCCCTTTGTGYGCGTACGTGTGGACTGTGAGCTTTTCAATGGAATCAAATATCTTCCCACAGAGTCGGCAAGGGAAATTGTCTGGCTGCTTCACTTCTCTTCCCTTCAACAGTGAAGACCGGCCATTTCTCCATTTAGGTATAAACCTCACAAGAGCATCACAAGTGCTTCCTGAGCTGGCACAGCTAAGCTTCGCAGCAGAGGAGCAGGAAAAGGTCCCATAGCACTGTGCAATGCTTTTGCCTAACGCTGCTCCTCTCAGTTTCCCTTTGAGTTTGCTTTTTGCTTTTACAGGTCCCAATTTATTTGGTGGTCTGAACCTGGTGGTAAGGACTCGGTCTTTATTGATGCACTGGTGAGATTCCAGCAGGGCAAAAGTTGCAAAAGCGTTTCTACAGCTGGAGCATATCCAAGAGTCTACGGGCTCTTTCTGCAATGAGAACAGAAACAGGTCTTTCTTATTAGCCATTCGAAGGAAAGGTCATAGTCTTCTCACTGACCTTGCATCTTCTCCTGGGCTTTCCCAAGACCTCTGTTGTTTTCATTTACGATATTTACTTCAATGCTACCACATAGCCATTCAGATGGAAATGGGCTAACTCTAGAAAGAAAAAATAATGGCTTTCCGTGTTTTTCTGTAGCACTTACTGATGCTGAGTCCTTCACCTTTGTTTATCTCTGTGTTCTGAATTTCAAAATCTCTATACTTGTTCTTGTTATGGAATTACTCTTTATCTGCAGCTGTACTAACATCCCAGAGCTGAGGACTAATTGGGTGTTTTTCTGAACACAGGAATATAGGTTAGCAGTACAAGATTTCCCTGTGCTTTGGTATGACACTGCACTGCTTGTCCCTTTGCTTGATGGCAATAGTTTTTGCTTTCAGGATGGACTTCAACACCTACTCTGATGTGTGACATCTGACCTTCTTAAGCTCAGTAAGAAACACTTGAGGTTTGGGACTTTCCAGTCTACTTTGACTTAAAAGCACAAAAACAATTTTCCACCAAGTTTTCACTAACTAATGCATTATTTGGTATTATCTCTTGGTAATTAAGAGCTCTGCTGATCTACTGAATTCTCTTGAAATAGCAACATTTGAAAAATTCAAATGAATAACAATTAAAAAAAGTTACCAAAGAAATGGACTTTCAGATTATACATGATCACATCCTTCCTCAGCTATCTCCATATTTTACCCAAGCATCCCATTAACTGTCCCTACTTTCGGGTTAGCAAGCACTAGGGACCATCTGGAAGCTATGTCCACTGTCCTTCTTTGCAGCTGGAGCCCTCTCCTCTCTTTTCCCTGTCTTATAGAGTGGCTTCTCCTCCCTCCTTCCTAAATTACACTCTAAAACCCTCTATGAAGTGCACAAGTGGGATACTTCCCTTCCTGAAACACCTCTGCATTCATAATCCAACCGCATTTGCAGTTTAGCTTTTCCTTCTAGCTTAGTTTTTTTTTTTTTCTCTCAATGTTCCCTTTTTCAACAATTCCTTTTTTTTTTTTTTTTTTTTTTAAATCAGCCTAAGGATTCCTATTATTATACAAAGGGGGAAGGTATTGGGATTAGAATGAAAAAATTAAGGTAGGGAAAACTAGAGCTTGTATGCAAGGGCAGAGCATAAACAACGGGAATCATGAAGTGGTGAGAGAACAACTCTGAGATGAGATGGTTTAGTTATCCAAAAATTAATGCTAATTTACTTTATTAATGCTAAATTAAACTAAATTAAATTAATGCTAATTTATTAATTGTAATCCCACTGATTGATTCCACTGTTGCCATCTCTGTTAGGTTATAAACACAGAGCAAATATGGCTTTCTTCTGGATAACTGCTTGATTAAAATCCCTCTTGGCTTTTTGTTAGCCTGCTCCTCCCTTATCCTAGTATTAGTGAAGTTACATAAACAGACAAAGTATGTAAACAAATAGTAATTTGCTACGTCTGGTGACGGCTTGAGTGTAGGGTAGGGACACTTACTGTTGTTACTGCAGGCAAAGGGCACACATCAGATTCTTCTTTAATAAAGACTGCAGAAGCTTCCATAAATTTGGCATAATCGGCAGCATACCATACTTTTAATTCTGTGTGGGGTTCAATTGGCTGTAAATAGAAGGAAGGAACTCATGTTTACTTGTGCCACTTTTCTTATAGAAAATAATACTATATATTCAAAATTGAGATGTGTGGAGCTTATCTTCATGTTCTTTGAATTTGTTTAAAGCACTGGTCTTAGTTTCAGGACTCGAGCACTTTCTGAGCATTACTGTATCATTAGACTTTTTTGCAGTTTCTAAAAGCAGAAATGCATATGCATGGACAGAGATTTGCAGATAGGAAGCAGAGAAGGAGTGACCGCTACTCCATGAGATGTATTTGCCTGTAATTGCCAGAAATCCAGCAGTCTTTCCAAACAATGGAACAGGTTGATGCTTTGATACCTAGAGGCCCATTAGACATAACATTTAACTACAGGGAAAASGTAATAGAAAAATACATGGTGTGTGCTCTACAGCTTGGATGCCTCCCAGATGTGTCATGCTCGCGCAGCAGTGGTGCAGAGTTGATCAATGAGTGGACTCCAAGTCAACKTGCATATTTCTCTGTGCTGTCACTAACATGTCACACTTGCTGTTCACATGCTATATTTTACTGCTATGTTGTGCACCCCTCTTTCACAGAGGCCTTCCCACATCTAACAGTCCTTGAGCTGCAGTCTCCCATCCAGTCAGCTCTGCCCAAATTTTCTCTTGGAATGGACTATGACCTCCTCTGACAAATACTTCAGTCAATACCACAGCAAACAGAAAAAGAGGCGTGATTATACTCCCTGGCTAAAGCTCCATTAGGTATTTGGATAAAGGAGAAAAGCAGCTTTGGGGTCAGGATTTACCTGACTTCCTACCTCCCACCTCCAGCATTTTATTCCTCTATAAACAAAACAATGGGTGTTGCAATAGGTGCATAGCCAATCCGCATTGCAGATGTAGATTTATTTAAAGTAAACTAAACTTGTGCCTCCATAAAGAATAAATTAGCTTTGAAGGACACCAGTTGTGTCTTACTCCAAAMAGTGCCCTCTTAAAAATGCATTTAATTGACAACAGCAGTGTTGCATAAGCCTGGTAGGTGAAAAACAACTCTGATTATGAATGCTGACACGTGGCAGATAAAGTTGTGTGACATCCAAAAAAGAACTGCTGAGCTCTTGAACAMAAACCTGCCTGCTAGCTATAGCCCATATGGGCCAGTTGTATATTTTGATAGCACCTAGGCTAAGCAACAGTGATAGGTGCTGAATCCTCCCAYTAATAGAGAGACCTAGGCTGAAACAGAAGGCTCATCACACATTGTGTTTCTGCATATAGACTGCTTAGATGAAAGAAAGATCCTGCAAATGGGGGAGGATCTCTAGAGGCAAATACCGGGGGATGCCCAAGCTTCTCGGCTGACGGCACCCAGGACTGGTAACCACAAGCAGCTGCAGAGCACGACTTCAACAAAACTTTCTGCCCAACTTCCTGGACCAGCAGCCACCTCCCCAGGGAGAAGGGAAGTTAAGAACATGTGTGAGCTTGGCGGGGCAAGTGTGTGAAATGTCTAAAATAACCAAGCAAAACAAAAGCTTTAATGGAGCTTAAAATAAGCTCCATTATACAAGTTGTCTATGAGTTGCTGTTGTTTCCTGTGTTTCAGCTAGTGAGAGCTATGGCAGCACCCTTGTGAGATTCCCCTGGTATGAGACAAACAACAGGTCTGGATGATTTTTACTCCCTCATAATTCTGTACATTGTAAAACATTTATGGCGACTGCAGTCATGAGGTCAGCCCTTACTCTAACTGCAGTGTTAGCAGGCCATTTACCTGTACGCATCCATGGATGCTTTTGTAGCTGTGCCACAAATTATACTCTTTATAAAAACAGTGGGAAGAGGAGCCAATATTTCTACTCCCAACTTAACAGAGTTTATTCAAAATATCTTGAGAGAGCACCTTCCCAGCCAGGCCCAAGGTGCCTCGCAGCGTGACCAGCAGGGTGTGCCTAAGCACAGCAAAAGGCTGTAATTTTCACCGACAGTGACAAAATCTGCAGGATTCCACCAAAAAAAAGTAAATGATACTGTTTGAGGACTTGAATGTGGGAAAATCAAAGCTGACCCATATGCATATGTTGCATAGTATAGTTGTTTCAAAAGCACATTACTTTGCCTAGGATAGCTCATTGTAGTTTACTTAGCCTAAGACAGCTCCTTTTAGTATACATGATGCAGCTCCCAGCTACTGCAAGTGAGGAGGGTTCTGTTGAACTTAGCAGATCATTGCTTGTTTTGTGCCAAGTGCTACTRCAATAGTATTTAAATTATCAATGTTACCAATTCAGAAATAAAACTTACCAGAAAAGCATTTATTCACACTTCCCAAATATAGTACTACATGTCTAACATACACTTAAAATCATATATAGAACCTCAGAATTTTGAGCACAGACTAGGCATTGTCTCAGATAGTATCTACTGTATTACATTGACTCTCTATTTTAAAGCCTTCRAATGCAACCGTATTTATTACTGTTACAAAGGACTTAATAAGTAAGTAAGGTGCTACCAGTCATCATTACCTTACTCATATCATCACTGTATGGTAAATACTTTTCCCATGTTTCAGGTGGAAAAATGAAAGTGGAGGAATGAAAGTAAATAATACTATCACCCATAAATGGGGGCCAAACTTGTAAATGAAATGCTAGATTTTAATTCTACAGTAACTTCTTTCACTACCTTCTCTCATTACGATAYACAAGCATTAAATTATAGTCTCCATATTTAATGAGAATAGAAAATAGCACTTAAAGATTCTACTTAATATCCTGTTTCTGAACACCTGGTGCCCAAAAATGTAATAAAGGAAAGGAATGTGTTCGTTCTTTCCAGCATGAAACATTGGTGAATATAACAGTGCTAAGCAATCTCACTACAAACTTACTTGAAGCCAGGTAAGATTTTTATAGCATTCATGTTTAAACACAGTTTGTGTGATGATGAATGACATTTGTGGGCTTTTATTCTCTACTCCAGTTCTTCAACTGGAAAATCCCACGCACTGCTTGCTTTACTGTGGACTAAGTGATATAAAAGCTGGTAGGTAATAAAAAAGCAATTCCTGAAATGTAATCRATCTTTCCTCTGTAAAAGGGCTACTCTTTCACGGTCTTCCTCTGTGAATTATCATTTAAATCATAAGTTGCCAGGTGAAGCAAATGCCAGGTGAAGCAGGGTGGGCTTAGCTACCTTAACAGTCGTGAAGTAGACTTCTCCGCAGTGCTGATAAGCCACAAGAGTCTGTTCTTCTTGGTTCCGGGCTAACCGGACAAACATCATCCAGTTTCCACAGTCCTCATCGGGAGTGTCCAGAAAGTACTTTCCTCCATCTTTCAATACCTGAAATATAGTGGGAGAGGGGGAAACGGAACATGATAAAACCCAGTCTTGTACTGAGACACAATAGTTTAACTTGGAATCATGGCTACCAGTTATTTACCTTCTTCCTGGGAAAAAGCACAATTCTGTCCTTTGAAATCACAGTTCTTTCAAAATAGATCACTCTTAAATAACGCTGAGAGCAAAAGAAAGTGAGGAGGGAACATTTTCCAAGGCACTCAGATACTAAAATAACTGTAGGCCTTTGTATGTATTTCCAGTTTATATTTCATCACTTTATGTTATATAAAGATAATATTATAAGGACTAGGTGCAGGCAGGTAGAAAGATAAGCTTTATGCCTAATGTACTTCCTGAGTTCTTGATAATCTCAAACCTTAGTGCTATATTAATGCTATGTTTTGCATGGAACAATTATACAACTGTGTAATAACTCCAAAGAGGTATTGTACAATATAATGGCATTTTAAYAGTCATCTCTTTTTCCCTGTAACGATACAAAGTAAATACAAATGAATAATTGTGCTATAGGGATTTTTTTTTTTTGCTGCTCAGTTTCATTCTTGTTAGATTCCTTTTCAATAGAAAGCCTCAATGAGGCAAAATACTCCAGATCTGGTGCAAGAAGGTTGCTTCTCTCCAATACATCTCGGAAGATGGACAGCTAAGCTGCACAATAGATGTCAGTACTGCATGTATCAGTTCTGCTAACCATTTAAGAGCTCTTGAGAATTAACTATTAATTGCAAAACAAGATTCATTTTCAYTGCTTTGGGGAACAACTTTGCCTAACTTTGTCTTGCTTCTAAGAAAAATTCATGCCTGTTGGATGAGTTTGGTTACATACTTATAGTTCTGATAGGAGAAGTCAAGGCACCTGCTGCTCTCTCTTGTCAGAGATATGAGTGTTTTGCCTCTTATTGCGAAGAAAGCCCTTTCATCAGGTAGAGCTATGCTTATCTAAATATGCTTCTGAACAAACCAGGCTGATAGAGGATAGAGTGCAGTTTAACCTGGCTTAGTGAAGAGGAGGAAATGGGATGTTTAGTCCACCCACGCTCACATATTTGAGAGAGATAGGTGTTCTCTAYATTTTTAAAGAGTCTCATAAAGACTGAAAGAATTTAATCATGGGTAAGATAAATGCTCTTTGGTGCCAACATCTTTTGAAAATCTCGTGGAAGGATAGTATTACTTTGATGGCAGACCCCCTCATATGATCTCCATGAGCAAAGGCTGTCTAAAGTGACTATGGAATCTGCTACTTTTGTTCTCAAGCAGAACTAGAGGTGTTGTCAGTMTGCCTGCCTTCCTGCACAGAGGACAATGTTTCCCAGAACGTAGCTTCTGCAAAAAACATAAGTGAAGACCAAGTATGTCACAGGACAGCAGCCAAGCGTTGCTCTCCCCTGAGAGGTAAGAGGGGCAGATGTTCAGTGTGGACTCTGCGAGGACTTAGACTTGCCAGAGAGTCCTGCAGGAAGCTGTGGCTGGACCAGGGATTCAGTCGTTCAGGCACAACTGGCCTTCAGTTATGTTTCCTTTTGATTGTGGACAAGCTCAGGAGGAGTGGACCTCCTCAGCCCAACTGAAGGGATGAACACAAGCAGAGACCYGGAGTCATGCAGCAGAGTGCCCGGACTAGGATTTAGCAGATTACAAGACACTATCACTCCCAAAAAATTCTGGTGGGAAAAGMTGCACATGCAGATGTAACTAAGCTAGGCTGGTCCTGAAAGAGACCTTATTTGTACTGGAAGAAGTACAGTTAACAGTGTCAGGGTTCAGATGGGTGTTCAGTATTTCAATATGCAGTAAGGAATAGTAGCAGTCCTAAATAACAGTTTATCTGAATAAACTGAGTTTGTACACTGTACGTCAAAGTTTATATTCACAACACTGAAAAGTGTTTCTTCATGTCTGTACTTTTCTTCTCTAGGTAGGTGCCTTAGTGATTAGCACTAAAAAAGGTTGTTAAGCGCAAATCCTTTTGTTTAATTTGTTAAGATAGTGCCATCCTTAGATATTTTCTGTAGTCATGCTCTGTGGAAAGTCTATTGAGATGTTAGACTACCACACAGTGATCTACTCTGGAAGTAATAAAACATTTGTCTAGAAAGGAAACAGGCAAASTTCTAGAAACACAGCATATGTGTTTTGGCACTTTGGGGTGTGCTGTGCAATCTAGTATGATTTATTTTCATTATATAAGCACAGATCAGAAGTACGATTAATTAACCAGATTAGAAGGCAAATGCTTAGTTAATAACGAAGTGTTAAGGACACATGTGCACTTCATATTCAGTCAYAGGGTTTCTGCGTAACTTGAACAAAAGACATTTCTGCCTCTTTGTAAATAAATAAAATGAAGAATATAGCAYTGTTTTCGTGAGGTAGTTTGAAATCCAACAAGAAGAAAGTTCTATGAAGCTCAGAGGAGTTTCTGAGTTGGTTARTTACTTACCTGCAGGACTAGCCTGCTCTCATCATAGCGGGTCAGTTTTGTAGACAGTTGACCAACATAAGGACCAAACTGTGTTCTCTTCTGTATTACTCTCTTTGCAAATACTCCAAGGACTGCAAGAAAGACCAGTCTAAGATTAATACRCACATAAGGAACATAATAAGCTGTCTTATTCATTTTAATTATAAATTACCCTATTAATGGTACCATGCAATGCGATCTAGGCAGAGTTCAATTTTACCCAAGTAACTGTGGAAAATCTGCATGTTAAGGATGCAGTCTCTGTGTTCAAATTCGGAAATTCAAACAGTCCTGCCATCGTAGCAACGTTGTCAGATAGCAATGTAGTCTTTCTACAATGGTCCCTGMAGATGTTACAAAAGATAAATGAATCCCCTGTGTTCTCTTGGGTTTACAGCAGAGGAAGGGAAGAATGGAATGGGAAGGTCAGTTGCCATTTTATTTCCACACTTCTATTGAATACTCCTTCCTGCCAGTCAAATGTTGCACAAACTCTGGCTAATGCCTTTCCATCAGTCTATGCACTGACATTACTGGAAATCACTCACAAAAAGCAGTGGTTGACTGTGAGCTTTAATAGTGTTCAGCTCAAAATAAGGCAGCCTTCATACTGTTTATGTCAAATATGTCTTAAGTTATTCATGAAAACAAGCCAGGATTAGTACTTCTGCATTCTTTTTCTCAAATGTTGAAGAAAGAGCTAAAATACTTACTCTGCTGGTTTCCAGCTCGTAGCTCCAACACTCGCAAAGTGAGGTAATGAGGTAGGGTAAGACGGGCTCGGCTAGGAATAACCCTATCTTTAGCCCTGATGAGTGGTCCATGGAGCTTGCATTCTCCTATCAGGCTTTTACCGCAGTCCTCACACCCTACAAACCCAGAAAAGAGMATCCAGTTACCAAAAAAAAAAAGCCCATCTCTGATCTACTGTTCCCTAATTCGGTATTTTCTAATTTTGCCACTTGAGGGCATATCTTGAATTACCAATGTTTTTCTTTAGAGCACTTCTCTACACAAAGTAGTAAAAAGGTTACCTATGTTTTGATCTGGAGAGCCAAAACTGAAATACGAAGGCTTCAAATAAGGCCTCCAGTTTTCACTTTTCCCTGTGTGAATCAGTAGGTCTTGAACTTTGAAGATTTATACATGTGCTTATCTAGAGGCCCTGTAAATAGTATCCTTGGAGACTGGGACTGCAGCGAGATTGAAGCTCACAGTTTGTACAACGACAATCCTGGTGCATATACTTACATATAAATGAGAAGGGCAAAGTTATTAGTAGGAAAAGCAAAGTAACTTGTAGAGATCTAGAGAGTCAAAAAAAAAAAAAAAAAAAAGAAGATGACTGTGGTGACTGTGAGTGTATTGAGCATTCTCAGCAGAGGACTAGACCCTCAAGATACCATGAAAAATGATTTTTATAGGTCTGAGAGTCACAACTTATTTGACGATCATGTCAAGAATTGCCTCCTTATAGACTATGCTGCCTATGGAAATGACCAAAAAGAACAGACTCTGCATTTCCTGATCTTTGTTTCATAGTAATGACATCTGCAGGCTGAACACACGACTCATCCAAAGAGGTCATTAAGGAGAAACGTATGTCTGCAAATTCTGACTTTCCACCAGTATGCTATATTTTTAAGCAAATCTATCTTAAACTGAAATCTATCTTAAAACTGGTTGCCAGGGAAGTGTCTATTGAGGAGTGGCACAAATTAGCAGTGACACAAAAACACTTGCACAAAAGTCATCCAGACACTGATGTTACATAGGGTGATGTGAGAAACATGTACAGTAGGTCTTGCACAAAATCTTTTTATAGACAGTAGATATCCTAACTGGTCAGCCAACTGCTCCTTATGACGGAGCTAAAGGAAAAGCTGACAGCAGTCATCCATGACTACCTTGTCTTGTTTTGCTTCTGAAAAGGTTGTTGAGCAAGTCTCTTCAGTAACTTACAATAAGGAAAAGTCAGAAGAGCCAAAAGGGTTCAAGAGAGCTATGGGAAGCTGTGGCAAAGACTGGGGCAAGGGACATGAGACTTTCCAATAAAGAGGGGTCAGCAGCCAAAGACAGGTCAAGAGAAATCTAAGAGGTCAGCAGGCTCCACCCAGAGAGATGTCAGAGAAGGTCTTTGAGAAAGGGTAGCAGTATTTGGGGTAGCTCCAAAAGATGCAGTTTCAACTTGTAAACACACTTAGGCACTTGATTAAATTACAAATCTCACAAGTCTAGATTCCAGCACTCCCAAGCAAGTTTGAAGTATTCCTCCCGAGCTCCCCGGCTCTTTATCAACCATAAATGAGGATGTAGGCTTACGTGTTGGTCAGGCTACAGGCAGCTATGCTAGATGCAGTGGCTAGACAGAGACACAGCAGAAGGGACTAATCACAACCAGTTTCTAAGAGATAACATCATCCACTCTCACCAGTCTTCATTTTAAGAGCCAAAGGACTTTTAGCAAATGAGAAAATTTATTAGAGACATTGCAGTAGTCCATGCTTTTCACAAACTTTGAAACCATGCAAGAGTCTTCTTTGGTCATAGCTCCTGCACTACTAATAGTTGAAGTCTATGATTCTTTATTGGTAGTGCTACTGATAGGGAGGATGCAACTTTAGACCCACCTGCTTATTTTGCTTAAAATTAAAAAAAAAAAAAAAAACTGTAGAACTTTTTTTTTCTTGTAAAAGCTGTTTTTTTTTTAAATAAGCTTGAAAGTCCTTTATAGTAAGGCCTAGAAAAAAAATAGAGATTTAACTTAATAGGCTTTTAAACAAATTACCAAGAGTCTATGTCTTCTGAGGGCAACAAATTTATTAGGGGTCCTCCACTAGTTTCCTGAGCTTACCTAGAATAATGGTGACTTTGTTTCAGTCGAACAGCTCCTGTTTGGAGAGTTGTTGCATGCAAACTACTGAAACATGTTGCCAAAAGCAAAACGCAGACAAAGAACCGCTGTTATAGGGAGGATGTATCTAATCGTAAAGTACACGACCTTATCAATCCACGCCATGCCTTAGTGATTCATTGCCCGTGCGCGCTCCTGAGCAAACCTTTTAGCTGTCCTGGGGCAGTGCCCACCGAGGAGGCCCTTGGTGGCAGCAGGCTGCCTGCAACACGTGGGAGGGCAGCACGGGTCTGCTGGGAGCAGGGTAAAACAGGCCAACTTGGTCTCTCTTGATCTGCCTCCAAAGCCAGCCCTAACATCCTGTTAATTGACCCCCAAACACACCCCYTGTTGCTGGTCCAGCAACATGATGTATTTCATCCTAAGCTGCAAGTGAGTACGGCTCGAYTAAAACGCTTGCGACCTCATGTCCCTTGTCACTGCTGTGGCAACTGCAGATCRTGTTCTACTACCACATTTTCATTGCTTTTTGCAATAGCTTGTTCATCAGACTCGTCTGAAAGGCAGTACCATCCCCACTGGGCAATTCAGTGACTTCCATGAACATGTCTTCACAGGGGCTTTAACTTGTTAAGTTCTGCACCAGTTTCTGCACAGGAGGATGCTCTAATTTGAACCAACAGAAATCAACTCTTTAGAGACAGGTGACAACATGCAATTTAAAATTGTGCTAACACAAAGAAATCTGTTGATAAGAAGGTATCTAAATTGAGACCTGAGATCCTGGAGTCTAGGGGTGTCAACCTAGAGGGYTTAATAAAGCCTCAGGTAATTTTCTTTTCTTTATTTCACATCTTTTATACTTGAACCAAATGAGTCTCTCTCTATATATTTATCATAGCATTAGTCTAGCTTTACTTTAACTTTTGCCGTGGTTTCATTTGGTTGTTACTTTTGGTCTTGGAGAGACAATAAATCCACAACCAAAGTTAAAGAAGACAAACACAGCAATCCAGTCCCAAAAGAAAGAACCTGTCCCCTATGATCAAGACATAAATAAGATGTCAAAAAATTCCCACAGCCTGGGCACCGGGAAGGCACTGCTCCAAAATCAGGGATTGCTTTAAATCCGCATGGGTAGCATACAAACCACAAAACTTATAGACCACAGGGACAAGGGGCTACGCAGACAGCACGCATAGACGACACGACGAATTCACCAGCTAGGACTGAATGAAATTACCTCCAGAGCCGGAATTAGTTTCGAATTAGGACAGTGCTCAAAGTTAATTAGCTTTTACACTCACATCACTTGGTATTCTGGTAGCTCAGGACATCTTGATTTATGTGTTTTCAAAGCACCGTGTTAGTAAGGCTTGTTGAAATATCCAGAACTAGCTAATAAGATTTTCTGTATTTTATTACACGGCAGATGAAGGCTACTAGATAATTTAGCTATTTAACAGGCATCCTGGAATTACATTTACTATGCAGTATTTCTGACCCCATACCAGCATGCAAGTAGCCTTACCCTGAATTTATTGCACACTGAAAACTGTGTGGTGTACCAGAAACACAGGATGGGTCACTGTAAGAAAATCCTAACTGAACTATTTCAGGAATTACCCTGGGGAATGGGGGTCTTTGTAATTTTTTTTTCTCCAGGAAACTAACAACACAAAAGCTGTCAAGTTCACTTTCCTCCTTGGAGATAACTGCACAACATCTCGTGACCCTTTGTATTTGAATTCTATAGCACAGATGCTGTTGCAGAAGGAATGTATACATTATTACAGCCCCAGTATGGCACCACTTTGCACAGCTCACTTGGGTTTTATTCTTCCTTTTAACTTGGCTGCTTCAGTAAAAAATAATGATTTCAACAACAGCCTTAGAACACCCCAAGATGTTCTATAATAGGGAACATGGTTATAGAAACAACCTGCACTTTGCAGTACTAGCACTACAAATTAAATAGTCTGACAGAAAAATCACTTTGCCTTGAAAACTTTTTCCTGCTTTCTGTTAGGAACTTTAATGTACTGCAGTTTYCCCACTCCCTTATATTATATTTATATTAATGCATTCCACATCATGTTTACAGAACAATGCTCAAGCATGCAAGAAAAGAGAGCTGCCCCCGCTCTTCTGCTTTCTTACCATTTATAAAGTAGTTAAGAAAAGAAGTTTCTTAAGTTAAGAGTAGTTAAGAAAAAGAAGTAAAATAGACTCAGTGAGGATTACAAGTGGTACAAGAAGGAACATTATGTCACTTACCACATCCTTAGAGCTGCCGTGCTGTATTATTATTCCTGTATGTATGTATGCAGGAATAATGCTATATTATACCTGTATGTGCATGTGTGCACATATCTATCTACATATATGCAAAATGTGTATATATACAAGTATATTATATACATACACACGCACCCACATACCACGCGAGCCTGGCCAGAGCACTGCCCCCGGGCAAGAGAGCCGGCGGGGAGGATCACTCACCTGCACTGCTCCCCTGGGGCCAAGCCTAGGCGAGGGGTGGCCTCTGTGGGCACCCCACGGACCACGTGGGGCCACCTCCGCGGCCACCGCGATTCCCTCGGCGGCTCCCGTGGCCGGCGGCGCCGGCCCCGCGCGGGCAGCACGTGCGAGCGGCCCCCGAGCGCGGCGAGCAAGCGCAGGCTCCCCCCGCAGCGGCACCATGCAAGGCCAGAGCCGGCCCCGCAGGCACAAGGGCGGCCTCCGGGGAGAGCTCATTAGCGTGGGCAGAGCGCCACGCGCTGCGGKCGCACGCGGTCCAGCCCGGCAGATAATGGGAGCTATACATAGCCCTACAGCGGCAGCACTCACTGTCACGAGAGCGTGAACATACCACCGCTTCTTCCACCAATCAGCTTCACAAGCTCGCTTTTTAAAACCAATTTGCCAAAGACAGGACCCCCATGAGGCGGCCCTACTGGGCTTTCTCCAAGCTCCACTTGGGGGGACTTCACAGCACTCGAACACTTGCGGGGC